GGCAGGAGACTGCCCAGCCCAGAGCAGTGAGTGCCCCCTGCCACCGTCCACCCACTGGGGTTTAAACAGGCACCAGAGAGTAGTGCCACGTGAGACAGGCCAGCACCCAGCCTGGCAACGTGAGCGTCCTTGCAGCAGGACAAAGATGGGAGCAAGTTTGGCTTGAACCTGGCACCCAATGGGTGTGAGAGCCCAGTGCCCAGCTTTGGGTGGGACAGCCTGCCCTCCATGCAGCCCCTACCCCTGTGCCTATGTCGCCCCCTCTCCCCACTAGCATCCACCCCCCTAAGTAGCTGTCCCTACCCCACTGTCCATGTCATCCCCTAAGTAGCTGCCTGTCTCATTGCCCATATCCCTGGCCACCCTCAGCCTCATTCCCCAGCAGGCTGTCTCTCATATGCCGCCAACTCTTGTGAGCCCTCCGAGCTGCCAGTCCCTGGGGAAGGGGGGAAGCAGTGACTAATCCCCACCCCCGCTCCCCTCTTGCTGCTGCCCACCCACAGGGCTGAGCCTGCAGCGATGGGGGAGTGCTAGAGGGTTGGGAGAAGGGGGGGCAGGGTTACCTTCCCTCCCATGGCACTGCACTTCCTTTCCCCCAATAGCTGCCCTTCTCCGACACCACTCCACCAGTGGCCCTGCATCCCCGCAGGTCCCAGGGGCATGCACAGTTCAAACCAGTGGCCCCTGCGTGCCCCTGAGCTGCACCAGCACCCTCTCCTTCTCCCTGCACTGCACCCCTGAACTGCACCCCTCACCTCTTCCTCCCTGCACTGCACCCCTGAACAGCACCCCTCACCCCTTCCTCCCTGCACTGCACCCCTGAACTGCACCCCTCACCTCTTCCTCCCTGCACTGCACCCCTGAACTGCACCCCTCACCTCTTCCTCCCTGCACTGCACCCCTGAACTGCACCCCTCACCTCTTCCTCCCTGCACTGCACCCCTGAACTGCACCCCTCACCTCTTCCTCCCTGCACTGCACCCCTGAACTGCACCCCTCACCTCTTCCTCCCTGCACTGCACCCCTGAACAGCACCCCTCACCCCTTCCTCCCTGCACTGCACCCCTGAACAGCACCCCTCACCCCTTCCTCCCTGCACTGCACCCCTGAACAGCACCCCTCACCCCTTCCTCCCTGCACTGCACCCCTGAACAGCACCCCTCACCCCTTCCTCCCTGCACTGCACCCCTGAACAGCACCCCTCACCCCTTCCTCCCTGCACTGCACCCCTGAACAGCACCCCTCACCTCTTCCTCCCTGCACTGCACCCCTGAAC